CCTGAGAATTTTCTCCAAACTTTATCTGTAGAAGGTGTTGCCACATCATTGTGAATATTTTCATGTTGCCTTGAAGTTATCATCTCAGTGTGTGAGATATACAGGCTGTAAGCAAATTTAGTTCTTTTCAACTTCTTGTGGCAGTCCATTACTATACTACGAATTATAAGGGCTTTGTTAAAAAAAAACCAAAATACTGCTATATATCCTGGTGAATGTGCCAATTGGTTCCCTCTCAACTACCAAAAAACGTGTTTCCCATGGTCTTTCTTCTATCAGTTAATAGTGATTCCATCATTCTTTTTGTTTAGGACAAGAATCTTGGTGTTTCATAATTGATTTTTTTCCTGCTTAACATCATAGCCAAGCCATTGGTGAATCCACTTGTTTCTACCTTCGAAATGTATTCAGAACCTGACCACTGCTCACCGCTCCATGACACAGGTTGTGTTCCCCTGGAAGCTGATACTGGAGTGGAGCTAAGTGGCTGGAAGGTTTTTAGGGAATGCTCCTGAGATGGACATTGCCAAAAGAAGAAAACAGACTTAGGCAGAGGGAGAAGTTTGATGTGGTCATAAACAAGGCCTGAGATGATCTCACGAGGAGCTCTGATCTGGGATAGTCATTAGGAGTTTCCTGAGTTGAGGTTGGGGGTTAGGCCTTTCTACTCCCCACCAACACATCAGTGGGTTCAGGTTGCCCCTGGGAAGGGAGAATACCATGGAAGACATGCCTCTCTTCAGCACAGGTAATTCTTGAAGAGGCTGACAGCCCAAGGCCATTAGTTGGAGAACATCCAGCTGAAGGGAAATTGAGCAGCACCTCACACATCCACTACACTTCATCATGACCATCTTGATCTGAACCCCTCATTTTCTTGAGATTAATGCAACAGCCTCTTGACTGGCTCCCTGCTCAACCTCTTAAGACATAAGTTAGAACTATCCTTTGGACATATAGGTTAGATGCTGCCATGCCTCTGCTGAAAACCATCCAGAGGCTCCCATCTCATCCCAGATAAAAGCCACAAAATCAGCACAGTGGCCCATCAGACCCTATACCCTCTGCTCTCTTGGCTCTCAAATCTCAGCACCCATTACTTGCCCTCTTACCCTCGCCCTGCATCACTCTGATATTCTCACTAGACCTTGAAATGCCTGGCAAGTTCTCATTTCAGGCCTTCGCATTTTGCTATGGCCCTCCCCCCACAAATGTCTCAGGCTCAGCACAGGTCCCTGATTCACCTCCCTCAGGTCTCCACTCACTTCACCGTATTAAAGTCTTCTCTGACGGCCTGCTTCGAGTTGCACTGCTCTTCCCTCTAGCTTTCCCTGTCCCTTTGTTACATGCTTTTCTTCACAGGGAAGACATTTTTTTTTTTGAATAGTTGCACAATGTTTTTATTTTTAGGATAAATAAATGTCATTATTTCACTCTCAGTACTGTAGTTCAATAACTTCTATTTGGTGTTTCCAGTTCACACGGTCAACACTTGTTAAGAAAGATGAACTTAACAATGATAGATGATTTTCATAAAGTTTTAGATCAAGAAAACATATTTGGAATTTGGGATTCAATTTTATACTTTTGGGAATGTAAATCCAGCTATGGTTTTTACTTCTTTTTTTTTTCTTTTTTCAATTTAAATTTTATTTTTATATTCCCCATACAACTACAACCCCCTTATTTTGACCCCTATCCTTCCTTTTCCCACCTCCCAACCCCCATAGAGTGTCTCTGGTTCATAGTTGTTTGTTGATTTTGATATTTTCTTTCTTATAGTTATTCTTTTTCCTGGTCCCTTATTTAAGTTTTCTAGATTCCTGCTATGAGTGAGACCATCTGGTATTTTTCTTTTTCTTTCTGGCTTATTTCGCTGAGCATGATCCCTTCCAGCTCCATCCATGTTGCTGCAAATTGCATGTGTTTATCTTTTTTTTTTTATTTCATTTGTTTGTTTCAAATTTTTATTTTAATCTTTGGGGTTACATTTTTGTTCTTCCATATGTGGACATGTTTCAATCACCCTCCACCAAACCACCTGTGCCAATGCTCTATTAACTTCCCTGTTCCACCTTCCCTGTGTATGATTTTTTTTTGGTTATTGTATTTCACAGGTGAGTGAACCCTTCCAATATCTGTCTTTCACTTTTTTTTATAATAAATTTTATTTTTATATTCCCCATACAATTGCAATCCCCTTATTTTGACCTCAATCCCTCCCCTCCCACACTCTACCCCCCATAGAGTGTCTCTGGTTCATAGTTTTTTGTTGATTTTGATTTTCACTTTCTTATAGTTATTCAATTCATTTTCCTGGTCCCTTATTTAAGTTTTCTAGATTCCTGCTATGAGTGAGACCATCCGGTATTTTTCTTTTTCTTTCTGGCTTATTTCGCTGAGCATGATCCCTTCCAGCGCCATCCATGTTGCTGCAAATTGCATGTGTTTATCTTTTTTGAATGCTGAGTAATATTCCATGGTATATATGTACCACATCTTCTTGATCCAGTCATCTATTTTTGGGCATTTGGGTTTTTTCCAAAGCTTAGCTATTGTAAATAGTGTTGCTATAAACATAGGGGTGCAGGTGCTCTTTGGAATTGATGTTTCTGTGTCCTTTGGGTAAATACCTCGGAGTGGAATTGCTGGATCATATGGAAGCTCTATGTTTAGTAGGTCCAGAAATCTCCACACAGCTCTCCATAGTGGTTGGAGCAGTTTGCACTCCCACCAGCAGTGCAGAAGAGTTCCTTTTTCTCCACACCCTCGCCAACATTTGTTGTTGCTAGTTTTTTTTTTTGTTTTGTTTTTATAAATTTTATTTTTATGTTCCCCATACAATTTCAACCCCTCCATTCTGACCCCAATCCCTCCCCTCCCTCCCCCCACCCCACAAAAAGTGTCTCTGGTTCATAATTTTTGTTGATTTTCACTTTCTTATAGTTATTCAATTTCCTGGTCCCTTATTTAAGTTTTCTAGATTCCTGCTATGAGTGAGACCATCCGGTAGTTTTCTTTTTCTTTCTGGCTTATTTCGCTGAGCATGATCCCTTCCAGTGCCATCCATGTTGCTGCAAATTGCATGTGTTTATCTTTTTTAAATGCTGAGTAATATTCCATGGTATATATGTACCACATCTTCTTGATCCAGTCATGTACTTTTGGGCATTTGGGTTGTTTCCAAAACTTAGCTATAGTAAATAGTGCTGCTATAAGCATAGGAGTGCAGGTGCTCTTTGGAATTGACATTTTGGACTGTTCATTGACTTCTGTATCCTCAGCACCTGTATCTCTTGTGTCTATGCCTGGGACATAGATGGTGCTTCAAAAAATACATGTTGGATGAATTTCTGTAAGTTATACAAAAAGTTCCAGTATTGTCTCAAAGAGAAAATTGTCCCCTGGCGTCTCTAGGAAGAGCCCTTCCCTTCTGACTTTGGTCGCAGAAGCCATTCATTTTTCTTTAACAAAATTATATGAGGTGCTAGTTTACATGGCTTTTATAGAATGAGTAATCAAGATGTCAGGATTCTGATTATCTCATGACCAAACTTTACAAAAACTATTTTTTTATTTCAAGTTTGATTTAGGCTCCTTTTTTAAAATTTATTTTATTTATTTATACATACAGGAACTGGGGTATAGGCCAGAGGTGTGGGGAGGTGAGAGGATTCACCAGAGACAGAGCAGGGAGCAGAACAGGTGGATATATTGAAATACACTGCTGAGGGGAGAGACAGGAGAGGCCTGCTGTGCCATGTGGGCTAGCTCCCTGGCTGGGGATTGAACTCATGATAACACTGAAACAACCCCTGCACCATCAGGGAGGGCCCCTGGATTTAGGCTCTTAAAGGTCAAGGAAAATATGGTTTTTGACAATGTTGAGTTTTACCTGAACCCTGTGCCCCCTGAAAGCAGTGATGGTTAATAAATCCTCCCATCCTTTTGTATCTAAGAAACATCTAACCACCACAAAGGGCAACCTGACATAAGGCCCACTTTGTCCTTTATGATTTTCATAGATTTATGGATGACTCCTTATTTACTTGCCTCAATAAAACACAGGCCTCTGTCCTTTGAGACATGCCTCATAATGAATATTCTCCCTCTTGCAACAGCCTGAATAAAATTATACCCACAATTGGTATATTTTGTCTTTCTCACTTTCATAAAGAAGGAACTTGTTTTGGGAAGGTTTATTTTTAGTTTCAGAGATAGTGTCCAATGGAAAATCAGTAGCTGACAATAGTAAGTGACAAAAGATCTCTTGACAATAGACAATAGACAGTCAAAGGGTCCACTCCCTCGGAGAAAGCTAGCATGGAGCTCAGCTGCAAAGCTGGGAATAATTACTATTTCCAAAGGCTAACACAAACTTGATTCCAGCAGATGGTAGGACAAAAAGATATACTGGGAGAATTTCCCATTATGTTGCGTAGATATATAATACTATCCCCCTAATATCAACTACCCCTATGTCCAGAGCATTAAAGTCTCACTCTTTCCCTGTCTAGGATTCCTGGTTTTAAGGAGAAGGGGTAGAGATAGGTAGATGCTAGGAACAAGAGATTGTCATACATTGCTTATCTGTATTTCGAAGAGATGTGTCCACAGGACCACCAGCCTGTCCTCCCACAGGGGAGAAGATTTTGACTGAATGCATAAAGAGCCGGATTTAGACAAATGGTTTCACCTTTATTCTAATGCCATGGTCAGCCCTTCATGCCAGGATTTATATGCTAGGGCAACCGAACAGAAACATTTAGCTCCATTTTATTGAAGTATCCAAATGCTATATAAAGTATCCAAATGTTATATAAAATGGAAAAAAAAAAAAGCTAGTCAGTCCAGATGCTGATGAAGTCTGGTGCCAGGAGCCCAGTTATAACATACAGACTTCAGATTCTTAGTGAGTGAATTGGGAATCTCCTAAAAAGTGGAAATCTCCTAAAACTTATTTGTCAAGGGTCATGCATATCTGTGTGTGTTCATTTTTTTTTTTTTGACAGAGAAACAGTTTTTTTTATTCATCCTCCTCCTCCTCCTCCTCTTCCTCCTCCTCCTCCTCGTCTTCGTCTTCCTCTTCCACCTTTTTCCTGGCAACCTTGGCAGGACCCTTGGCGCCATCAAACTTCCCTTTCGACTTATAGTCGGAGACATCCTTCTCGTACTTCTCCTTGAGCTTCGCCGCCTTGTTGTTGTAAGGCTGCTTCTCACTGTCGCTTAGGTTATTCCACATCTCGCCCAGCTTCTTCGCCACGTCGCCAATGGAGATGCCGGGGTTCGTGGATTTGATCTTAGGGCGGAATTCTGAACAGAACAGGAAGAATCCAGACGGTGGCCGTTTGGGGGCATTGGGGTCCTTCTTCTTCTTGCCTCCCTTAGCTGGTCCATAGTCCTTCATTTCCCGATCGTAGCGTACTTTATCTGCCTTTGCCATTTCATCAAATTTAGACTTCTCCTTCCCAGACATTGTCTTCCACCTCTCTGAGCACTTCTTGGAAAACTCTGCAAAATTGACAGGGACCTCCGGGTTTTTCTTCTTGTGCTCCTCACGGCAGGTCTGCACGAAGAAGGCGTAAGCAGACATCTTGCCCTTCGGTTTCTTGGGATCACCCTTAGCCATCTTGACTGAACGGGCGCGTCCCGCCCGGCCGCCTCGGCGGGGCGCGGGCGGCGAGGCCGGGGCGGCGGCGGCGCGCTCGCGGCGGCGCGGGCCGGTGTGTGTGTTCATTTTTATAAAGAATGGTTCCACAGCTTTTTAGCATTTTAAAAGGACCTATACCTTCTGAATAATCAAGAATCACTACTTTTTACAGATGTTCTGGGGTTTCAAAGAAATATCCCCTAGACGGAGTCCCCTCATCATTGGCCATGGCATGTCCAAGATCATCAAGTCTGAATGGGCCTGCTTCATCTGTAGGTGCTCAGTGTTCTGTAATCAGCTCAGTCTTCTGAGCTGGTAAGTAATGCCAAAGTCTTTGGTATCAGCAAAGTGCTGATTAAATTAGTCCATCTCCTAAAAGCTTGGAAGTCACCAAGAGAAAAACTAGACATTATCTGATCAATCCTGACGTATTTAATACTGGCTAAATCTATTCAGATGGCTATAAAAAGATGCCAAGAACAGGTCACTTATAATGAACAAAAACTTTTTGCTCACTATCTGGGAGACTGGCAAGTTAAAGATCAAGGCACAGGTGTGGCTACATTCTGGAAAGGCCCTCCTCCTCCTGCTTCCTAATTGGCACCTTCTCACTGCATCCTTACATGTAGGAAGGGCCAGAGTTCTGTAGGGTCTCCTCCTAAGAGTTTCCCAAAGAGAGTTCCATCTCCTAATGCTGTCACTTTTGGGGATAGGATTTCAATATATGAATTTTGGTGGGACACAAATGTTCAAACCATTAGAAGATATTTTCCACAAATACTCTTCATTAAGAATGCAGTCTGACATCTTTACAGACACATCACCCAAAGCAGTGATAGTGAAGGCAAAGATAAACAGCTGGGACTACATCAAATTAAAGAGCTTCTGCACAGCAAAAGAGACAATAACAAAAACAAAGAGAAACCCCACCGACTGGGAGAACATTTTTGCACACAACACTAATGATAAAGGACTGATCACAAAAATCTGCAAAGAGCTGATGAGACTCAGCACAAACAAAGAAAATAATCCAGTCAAAAAATGGGCAGAAGAGCTAAAAAGAAACTTCTCTGAAGAGGAAATGCAAATGGCCAACGGACATATGAAAAAATATTCAACATCACTTGTCATCAGGGAAATGCAAATCAAAACTACCATGAGATACCATCTTACACCAGTGAGAATGGCACATATTAAAAAAACTAACAACAACAAATGTTGGCGAGGGTGTGGAGAAAAAGGAACTCTTCTGCACTGTTGGTGGGAGTGCAAACTGGTCCAACCACTATGGAGAGCTGTGTGGAGATTTCTGGACCTACTAAACATAGAGCTTCCATAGGATCCAGCAATTCCACTCCGAGGTATTTACCCAAAGGACACAGAAACATCAATTCCAAAGAGCACCTGCACCCCTATGTTTATAGCAGCACTGTTTACAATAGCTAAGCTTTGGAAACAGCCCAAATGCCCAAAAATAGTTGACTGGATCAAGAAGATGTGGTACATATACACCATGGAATATTACTCAGCATTCAAAAAAGATAAACACATGCAATTTGCAGCAACATGGATGGCGCTGGAAGGGATCATGCTCAGCGAAATAAGCCAGAAAGAAAAAGAAAAATACCGGATGGTCTCACTCATAGCTGGAATCTAGAAAACTTAAATAAGGGACCAGGAAAAAGAATAACTATAAGAAAGAAAATATCAAAATCAACAAACAACTATGAACAAGAGACACTCTATGGGGGGTTGGGGGTGGGGAGGGGAGGGATTGGGGTCAAAATAAGGGGATTGCAATTGTATGGGGAATATAAAAATAAAATTTATTTAAAAAAAAAAGAATGCAGTCTGAAACCACAAATAGAACTGGCTAGAGATAGAATATGAATATGAAATGGAAACATACAAGTAACACCAAGATTCTGGAGCTGTTGTTTTCTGTTTAAGTACTCAAACCTGGATTTTGTGGTCTATGTTTTGAATTAATAATAGCTTTCAGAATTATTTTGCATAATTTTAATAGACAAGGCTTAATTGGCTCACTGAACTGTTTTCTTGAGATCTTAATTTTCCTATGAAAGCAGTAAATGCCAACAAGACAGACATCTCTTCTGTACTAAGCTCTGTTTACAGTTCTAAGAAGTAAACAGTCAGTTATTACATTAAAAACCTTCCCTCTAATTTTGATCCACGGGGCTTTTAGAGAACTAAGAGCTAGGGATAGCACCAAGAACCTCAAAATGTGCCTGACAGCTAAAAGCTGAAATCTGATCTGACTCCACTGTCGGTAAATAGAATAATGCTTCTCAATGTCATTCTACTCTTGCTGTATAGGGACGACATAGGCCACTTAGGCTATCAACAAGATATTCTTGGTTTCTAAATTGCTTTGAGAAAGCATTTTGGAGGCATCTCAGACTGTGGCAAGGGGTTCCATTTGTCAAATTGGATATAAAATAAATTAAATAGAATTGTATCCATATACATTTATGTTCCCTAAGGTACTAACTTGGGCAGAACTTAAAAGCTCAGTTGTAGTGTTACCTCCTCTGTGGCCAACTTAATTGCTCTCTCAGTATCTTAATTGCTGGCTGTTCTGTCTGTCTCTCCAACAGGCTGACATCGAATGGAACAGAGACTATGTCTTACTTATCTTTGTCTCTCCAGTAGCTGATACAAATCGGTAGCTTGCTGACTGTTTGCAATCAACAAGAATGTGTTCAATTGCCCTAGGAATTCATTTAGCAATCGCCAAATGTTAGGTCAGAATCCTGTTCCATTCTGAATATTCTGGGAAGTGTGCTTATCCATTCATCTCCCTTACCTTTTAAGCTCTGGTAAAAGTACTGAAGACCATGTACTTTTTTTAATAATAAGAGAAATTACTGGTTTATTTACAAATATACTAGTAAAGGGAAATTTGTACAATTATCAAATGTACAGTAATATGTACATTTTTTAAATAGTGAGAAGTTTGTTAAAATCCTTTAGTTTTACTGAAGAGCTACACACCATAACAAACAACTTACATGTGTTCAAAATAGGATCAAGCACTTCCTATTTTCATGCCGTAAATCATAGCAGGAGAAGGTGATTCTAACCCTCCTTACTTCTCAGGGTCCTGGTAGGGGAAGAATATTAGAAAAATCAACTACAGTAATTCAGGTCAATGATAGAGGCAAGTATTTTTCTGTGCTAGGCACTGTTCTAAGCAGGTTATGCCTTTTATCTTATGGAATCCTCACTATAACCACAGGTGGGTATTACTTTTGTTCACACTTTATATATGGGAAAACTGGCACAGAAAGATCAAGTAACTTGGCCAAGTGAGGGACGCTCATGAGTACTCCCCATGTCGCATACCTCCCAAGGAGCTAAGCAGAATGAATCCTTTCTCCTGTGTTCTCTCATAGACTCAGTACTCAGGCATGGACCTTATTGTGCCATGTGATTAGATACCATAGTCAGTCTTGTTGCCCCAACGGTGAGTTCCTGACTGAACAGGTTTCCCTTGCTATCTGAAATTGTTCCTATATAATCTTTTCTGGCATAAAATAAAGCATCAATTAGCATTAATTTCTGTGTTAAAAAATTTGAGCCTTCCCAGGCCCAAGAAAAGAACCTGCCAAGTCATGTGACACAACATGCAAAACCTAAAATAACACTAACATATAGTAAAAGCAGGAATACCCTGATAAATACACAACCTGTGCACAGTCTGGCTTGGGACAGAGCTTGGAGGTGCCACACTTGCTTCTCAGGGAACACACTGGCTCTGGAGCAGCTGCTGCCGAACAACTGCTGACATGGTGCTACTTTTCACCTTTTATTTTAAGAGTGAAAATCCTTTTCAGATTTTTTTTCGGTTAGTGAAAACAGGTCTTCTGTAAAAGTGAAGGGGCATAAAACAAACTCAAAAAAGCAGGAATCCTTACATTTATTGGTGATCTTTTTTGTCTCCCCACTTAGCAGAGTGACTGCTTTACAGTAGCTGTCAGAGAATTTCTATCCAAAATGGCTCCACTCCTGGGTGCCTCCTCAGAGAAGGGTATGACGGTCTCAGTTGCATTTGTGTGTGTGTGTGCATGCACACACACATGCACATATGGGCACAAGCCAGCAGCTATTTCCACAGAAGGCAACTGAGCCCTAGAGGAATGAACTGGCATTTAAAACTAAACCCTTATATCAAGAAAAAGTCATGTTTTAAATAATTTTTAGATGTTAAAAAAAATTTAGAAAGTCAAAGAGGTTTTTAAAACATATGTGTAAATTCTAACCAGTCAATTCCACTTCTAGGAGCTCATCCAAACAATCTTCGTGGCTACCAGCCATGGTAGTTATAACAGTACATCTCTGTGGTGGCTGAGCAGGTCATGCAGCCCGGGTAGGGGTGTCGTTCTGCATATAATGGGGATGAGTTAGACTAGAATGGGCCTGCCTGTGCTACTGTAATGTGACAAAGGGAATCTGGAGTAATCCAACATTGTTTTATAGTAGAGCCCAGAAACGTCTATTTTAAAATACTGACTGTGATAGTTTAAAAAATGGACTCAAATTCTCTCCCTCCCTCTCTCCAAGCTGTTTTGTAGAGATCTCCCACACTAAACTGGCCTTGGGACTCCATTTGGCTAACAGGACATAAGCAAAAGGAATATAAAAACAGAGTAAGAACAGAGGCAAGGAAAGTGTTTGCCCATCAGGACCTGCCTTCTGGCTGCCTAGGAGACTCCTGCCACCACTACCAATGAGGAAGGAAGATGGGGCAGGTTTGATGGGTAGACATGTGTGCCTTGAGCACCTTGGTTGCTCCAGGCAACAGTACAGCACTTGCAACCCATATGAGTGTGGGGATCCTGGATCACGTAGCCTCAGCGAGCCTGCCCTGACCACAGATGCATGAGAGCCCAGTAAAGTTCAGCTGAGTGAGCCCAGACCAGAACAGGCCAGCCAGCTCCCAGAATTCTGAACTAAGTTTTATGCCCCCAACTCATGTTGGGGGTGGTATGCCATAGAGTAAAAGCTAATTGATAACCAAATTTAAATATGTTGGAACTAAACAAAAGAAGGATCCAGTTCTGGTAATATCTAGGGAATGTAAAGATTTAACAAGGACTTCTCACAGTTTAGAATAGTAGAAGAGCAAAACCACCTCAAGATTTATCTAACCAACTAGGGAAGTGGTTATTGATGAGATCGGGTGTGTTCAGGGTGGTATGGCCGTAGAAGGGAAGTGGTTATTTGAGATCACACATGTATATACTGGAACAGTGCACCAGCAGAAATGCTAGTGTACAATAGCTGCTACACACCGATCTGATATTTGGTGTTGCCAAACATGGATCAAAAAGTGCAACTTACTTCACCAGCCCAAATTCACAGTAGAAATGGAACGCTGAACTGAGTGGATCACACAATACAGTGGGGAGGGCATCTTGCCTAAGGACAGGATAAAAAGTCTGAGTAAAGTTCCAAATGTCTATGGGAACATGTTCAATTTCACCTTTGAGGACAGAGGAGTGCCCAGTGGGGGCAGTAAACAGCTCTACTCAAGTCACGCTGTTATAGAGCAACCCCGATATTAAATGGGTTCCTGGCTGTGGGTCCTCACCCGCGTGCTTTAAAGGGACTTATGAATACTCTACTACAGGCACACACAAAAGGTTAATAAAAGGTTTATTTACAAGAGAAAAGGAAATAAGGAAAATGTACAACTCAGGGAGAAAATAGGGAAATAAAGTCTTTAATGCGTCCTACCCGATCCGACGACCTGGAAACCCAAAGTCACTCTCAGAGCTGGCGGGACGCTGCGAGCTGGCCGAGAGCCAAAAATGGGGATCCCCCAAAGCCCACGTGTCTGCCTTTTATATCCACCTGGCTGCTTAACCCCACCCTCAGGTCCCAGCCACCTTCCCTTTGGTGGTGATGGGATTTGGAGTTCCCAGTGTCTTTGGCTTTGACCTGGGGTGGGGGTGGAGTCCACAAAGCCTATATGGAATTTGCTTTGGGACATCCTTTTCCCCCTAACAATTCCCCCCTTCCACTTTTTGCCACCATTTCCATGGTGATGAAGATCGAATATATGGAGGTTGGGATGCAGTCTCAGATGAACATTTTTTCAGGTTCCAGTGTGAAAGAAAACCAGTCTCTCCAGGTATTTGTCCATTGTGGAAAGCAAAAGTCCTCTACTCCAGGAAAAATAGTTCATCAGTTTAAGCCAAAAAAAAAAAACAAAAACAAAACATCTGGAGGCATTAGCCAAAACAAGACAGCAGATATGTAAAAATCACAGAAAAAAAAATCTTAAAATGGTTCAACTGATGTAAAACACAGTGGTGACGCTCCAGAATACCGTGGAAGCCAAGGCTCTTCCGGCAGGTACATCAGCACAGAAAGCCGAATTAATAGCCCTGACCCGTGCCTTGGAACTCTCAAAAGGTAAAAGAGTTAATATATTTACTGACTCAAAATACTCTTTTATGATTCTCCACATGCATGGGGCCATTTGGAAGGAGCGGGGACTTCTTACGGCTAGCAACAAGGATGTCAAACACCCATTAGAAATCCTGGCCTTGTTAAAGGCAGTAGCTTTACCATCAGCTGTCGCTGTGATGCACTGTCCTGGCCACCAAAAGGGTGGGTCTGACTTGGCAAAGGGCAACAGGGCAGCTGATCGGTGGCTAAGGCCGCTGCCCGTTCTGCCCTCCAGGGTGCACTCATCCCTCTTGTGGACCTGACTCAGTATGCTCCTGAATACACCGAGCGGGATGAGGAGAGAGCTCGTGCATGGGGATTTACTGAGTTTGACCCCAGCTCTACTTGGAGAGTAAACGCCCATGGGATGATACTCCTCCCGGAGGCCCTGGTTTATCCGGTGCTAAAACATCTTCACGAAGGATCCCACTATGGGAGAGATGCCTTATTAGAAACTGTGCGCCCATATTTGAAGGGACCATATTTGCATAGAATAGCACAACGGATCACCCGAGGTTGTCAACTATGTGCCAGGAATAACCCCAAGACTGATTCCCACCCTAAAGCCATTGGGGTTCAATATCGAGGCAAGTGCCCTTTTGAGGACTGGCAGGTGGACTTTACACAAATGCCTAGAACAACAGGCAACTTCAAATACCTGTTGGTTTTTGTGGATACGTTCTCGGGATGGGTGGAAGCATTTCCCACAAAGACGGAAAAAGCTTCCGAGGTTGCAAAACAGCTGCTGAAGGAGATAATTCCTCGCTTTGGGTTGCCGGATTCTATCCAGAGTGATAATGGGCCGGCATTTGTCTCTGATGTTACTCATGCAGTAAGCAGTGCGTTACAGATCAACTGGAAATTGCATGCTGCATGGAGACCGCAGTCTTCTGGACAAACGGAGAAAATGAACCACACCTTAAAGAAAACCTTGGCAAAACTGTGCCAAGAAACACAGCTTCGTTGGGACCAGGTACTATCCCTTGCCCTCCTCCGCATAAGAGTGGCACCTAGAAGTGGGCTACAATTAAGCCCCTTTGAAATTGTGTTCGGAAGACCCTTCCAGGCCTCAGTTCTGAAAGCCAGTCCGGAAATAGCTCAAGATTGCCGGATCACACAATATGTGAAACACATCCAGGAGGTTCTGGCAGTAATTCATAACTTTGCAAACTCAAGGATCTCTATGCCTCCTGATCAACCACTGCATCCCTTCAAACCTGGAGATCAGGTCTTACTGAAGACCTGGCAGAGTGGGGACCCACTGAAAAGGGCCAGAAACAACCAGACAAGGCCGGAAGGAAAAGAGCAAAATCAACATCAAGATAAAAGCTGCCATTGTCACCTCTCCATGGGTCTCACCCACATCTGTGTCACCCAGTCCACAACCAAAAGACAAGCGCAGTTTCTTCATGTGTCTCTAGGCTCCACGCGCCTCCTCCAGGTCTCCTGGCTCCATCCTGCTTCCTTCCTCAGTCTCTTCTGCAGCTTCTCCTCTTCCTGCTCAGCTCCACCCTCCCTTGGGTGGGGCAGGGAGCCTCCCCCTTTCCTGGGGAACCACACTGTTACAACCCCATGACTCTAAAGGGGGATCAAACAAACAGCGGGGGAGCCATGTATGCTTTGTCATTGAAAGTCATTGTTATACTTAGTAGCTCCTGTCTTCATTTCCTCAAGCATGTTGCCAAAACGTAGACTTGAAAGTGTGCTCCAAACACAAAGGGCGTAGAAAAATCACTGGTATAGAAAAATCTTTAATGACCTGGAAAAACAGCTACATGTTAAACCAAAGAAGCCAAATGTAAAGCAGCAGATATACTACAATCCCGTTTTATATATATATATATATAAAAGCAGGCATAAGGAAAGTAGCTGGAAGGCAGACCAGATCTGCGGTGTGACAGTGGTTACTTTTGCAGGACGGCAGTAGGAGTAAATTGGTTTGTTTTTTTTTTTTCTTTTTCCTGCTTCTTGGTATTTTTTCAAATGACCATAATAAGCATGTACTATTTTTGCACTGGGGAAATTTAATAAAAGTGATAGTTTCAAGAGCGCTAAGGGGCATACTTATGCATGTGCTTGTGTGTACACACACCAAATCAAAGTGAAGCAAGATCCTTTGTTTTTTGGTCACACCTGCGAGTACTCTACCAGGGGCCTCCTCAGTGGCGCAGTGGTTGAGCGCTGGGTTGCGAAGCTGGGTTCCGCAGCCTCTGCAGTGCCAGTTCAATCCCCGGCCGCCGGGTGAGGGTCCCACATGGCGCGCAGACCTCTCCTGCCGCCCGCTGCTCCCCTCAGCAGTGTACTTTGGTCCTTCTGCCTGTTCTGCTCTCCCCTCTGGCTCTTGTGAATTCTCTCACCCTCCCACACTTCTGTACCCAGTGCTTGTATAAATAAATCTTTAAAAAAAAAAAATCTTTTGTTTTTTGGTCACACCTGCGAGTACTCTACCACCTCACTGCACTCATTCAGAATTTTCTCAGGGGCAGGCAATCTGTGGAACCCAGCATCTCCTCCCATGTGAAAACATGTGGATTTCTTGCAGTCACATGACCAACTTGATTCTCAGGAGGTAGCAGATGCAGAATAGCATCACTCTTTGTCTCCAGAGGTAGAAACGAGGCAGTGATTTAGACACCCTGTTGTGCCACTCGGCAAGTCTTCTGCCTGAATGTGCAGAGGGCGGAGGATGTGCAGCTGTCATTTGAGAGTGGAGATGTCCTGCTCCTTAGGGCACATGTCCTGATGACCCTCTCAGCCCATCATGGACTTGACTGTTAGTAACTGTCTTTCAACTGCTGACAAAGCACAGAAGTGAAAGGCAGAATCCTTACAAATGGTGGAAGGATGACCCAGCTAATCATCAGATCTACATCTAGCCAGGCACAGCAGAGTCCAGCTAGAGTCACTCATCCATAAATGTGGGGAGAACAGAAGCCAACACCACTGTCTTTTAGCAAACCCAGGGCGTACAAATAGCAACACATTACAAATCTAAGGTTCCAAATGACAATCAATTTATTAAAGATGCAGTAAAAGTACAGTTCATCACTGGGCATGGATATGGGACCAAAAGTAGGAGAATTGTACAAGATAAAGGGTTAAGGGGTGGGCAATGAAATGGAAAATTAGAGCTCATAAGGTCATAGACCATCCTTCTCAGTTTGTTGAACTGTGAAATAATGGGTCTGTTTTAGTCAAGGGAATAGGCTGTCCAACATCTGGAAGGATGTAGCCAGCACCACCAGCACCTTTTCGAGGACCCCTTCATTTCAACCCTTGGAAGAGAGAAGTAAAAATTATCATTGTTTTCCATTTGATAAAGCCTGAGTCAGGTTCGGGTTTGGAAATAGATTCTCCAATTATTCGGAAGGACAGATCACAGCCTGGGGTTGTTCACAAGTCCCTCTCTTGACTGGACCCATTGTGGAGTTAGTAAAATCAAATCACATTTTAAAACTTAGAAACGTGGTAATCGCACTTCCTCTGACAGTGCCCTCGGCTTTAGTCACTGTTGAGTTTTGTCTGTGAACTGCAGCCATTGCTCAGCCACAGCAGCAAATTACAGCTACTGTTTCCGGAGAGCAGATGATGGCCAGGCACTAGAGGAGCTCTGGGCAGACATTATTCCTTTAATCATCATGAAAACTTTAGATGTAAGGACAAGCATTTACCATTCAACAAGTGAGAAAACAGAGGCTTACAGGTGAAGTCACCTGTCTGAGGAGATACTTCTGTCAGGTGGCGAGCAGGACACAAGCCTCTTCCAAAGACGAGGAGGAGAAGCACAGAGCATTTGGGAGGCTCACAGAGTGTTGTGCCAAGGACACAAGTTGTAGTTCACTGACCTCAGGTCAACCATTTACGTTTGCTACAGAAGGTCACCTGTCTTACCAGCTACTTCATAGGATTTTTGTAAGGTTCCATATATGAAGTCTTGAAGCAGTAAAACATTTGACAAATATGATATGTTAGTAATAAGAGAAGACTCAATCATACTCCTTAGAACAACACCTCAATCATCAAGGCCTTAATGGAAAGACCACACCCCTTTAGTCCCCCAAGTAAACCTTTAAATAAAAGGCACAGGGTTTTCTTAAGCAATCCTTTAAAGACGAAGGGCTCAGGTATGCATGCTGGTACCTGAACTGCTCTTTGCAGGGAGCTTTAATGTTTTAAATTTAATGTAGACACCATGCCTGTGCTATTTATCTTAACTGGAGGAAGCAACCATTTCCCTGTGTTACTATCAATTATGTTCCAGAGAAACGACTACAGGAGTTTTACATCCTTAATCTATGCAATTCAAGAATGAGGGAAAAAACAAATAATGCTTTCTCCTGAAAGGGCTACATTATATATAATGCAGTAATTCACTTTTTATTCTCATCATTATTATTAATAGCAAAGTCCACAGTTCAGTTCCCAGGCAACATAAAAATGGATGTTTTACATATAAGACAATTGCTGGTAACACAATATTATTTTTTTAGAGCCACTAGATCTAGCAGTCTATCAAAAGATAACCAAACAATGCAATCTCCAAGCAATTAAAAACAATAAACTCTGAAGCCACTATGAGAGATCTACTGAATAATCTAGCTGTAGGTAATTTCAAATGGAAATCCTGTTTTCTCCTTTCATTTAAGGATCATGAAAAATCAAAGCTCAAACAAACAAACAAACAAAAACCCTCCAAAAAAACTACCCACCAGGTGAAAGTCAGGATTCGGCACATGTGACTTGGGGACGTGCTCCCCAGCACCCAGTTAATGCAGGCACGTCATTCCAGCATGTGCTGAAGCACTGAGGGGTCCACCTCCATGGCCTGGAGGCCTCTGTGCAAGCTCTGGAAGGTGGCCTGCTTCCCAAAGCGCTGCCTCCAGCGCACGAAGGCCTCTACCATCTGCGCGTGCACGCTGTGGGGGTGGTCGGCCTTGCAGCGGTAGATGTCCGCCTGGGACAGCCCCAGAGACAGCGCCACGGCTTCCCACTCTGGGCCCAGCCTCTGAGCCAGCTGGTTAATCTGCCGGTCCGATGGGGAGCTGTGGAGAATGTTGGGGGGAATTCCAGTCACCGGGTCACCTGAGGAGGAGAAAGACATAAAGATGAACAGAGTAAACGAATATATTAAGTGGAAGAAGAAATGAAAAACATGGGGAGGGAATGATACACTTTCCCACAGTGGGGGGCCAGGTTTTCCGAGTCTTTCTGGGGTCTGTTCAGTACAAAGCCTTATATAAGGGATTATGAAATATCATGCAGCACCTATGAAAATGTTCATTACAAAAAATTTGAAAACAAAAAATAAAAATAACCAGAAATCTCATCAGAGAAGCCCACAGAGAATAATTTGATCCGTTTGCTTTCACTTGTTGTATATAAAACAGACATTTAGAATTACATATTGCTTTGTAACATGCTTTTTTCCACTTTCATCTCTTTACCACAGAGGCTGAGCAGGCGGTTCTGTGGTAATTCCAGATGCCTACATGGGTGCCAGTTCTCTCCCACACTGACCTGTGGGCACTGACCTGTGGGCACAGGACTGATGCTCCCTCCGGAAGGAACAGCTAGTACCGAATGGTGAAAGGCTAAACAGAATAGCTATACTCTCTGCAGTTCCTAACAGAAGCAGGAGCCAAGAGGCCTGCTGAGAAAAAATAAATAAAACTTCGAGGTCATGAGGTAGCAGGAAGAGAGGAGAACCAAATTCACTGTTCCAGCAGAGGCCAGAGTAGGGTCACCTTCCCGGCAGATCCCAGAGGGGGAAGAGAAAGCATGTGCTGTGGAAGGGCAATGAGAGAACCTGACCTTGCACTTCCTAAGCTGGATTCCATCCTCCCAGAGGCCTGTGTGCTAAGGAAACTGGACATTAAGCGAATGACTACTGATGTGCTGAGCACATCCCATGAGAAGTGCCTTCCAGAGGAAGGTTAAAGTTAAACCCTGACCATGAGAAAGAGGAACTCAGTGAAGAGAAAGTTAAGGAAGGGTGTCCTGTGCTGAGGGAACTGCATGTGCAAAGGTCCTGAGGCACATTCAAGGACATGAAAGAAGTTCATTGTAGCAAAGTGCACAGATTGAGAAGAACACCCGATATTCAAAATTATGGTGCTAGTTTAGAGGGTGATAGAATCGAGGTTTTCACATTCCTGGCTTAGCCGTCTGCAAAGTAGTACATTGTACACTTTCTATCATCAGCATCAGAGTGATTTGGGTCATCTCACTTCACACTCACCAGCTCATTGTCTTGATTTATGAATTCAATCAGAAGGCATTCTATTAGGAGAACTTATGTTTTTCAGTGTACATGCCTCAGGCTGCTAGGCAGCTGCCAATATCTTGGGCATGACTTATAAGAATTATTGCTAAGGATACTTTCTATCATTTGTCAAGATTACAGTTGTTTTTTTTTTTTTTTTTAAAGATTTATTTATACAAGTACTGGGGTACTGGCCAGAGGCATGGGAGGGTGAGAGAATTCACCAGAGACAGAGCAGGGAGCAGAACAGGCAGACAATCGAAAACACTGCTATGGGGAGCAGTGGGCAAGACAGGAGAGGTCTGCCGCACCATGTGGGTATCTCCCTGGCTGGCCAGGAATCGAACTGAAACTGCAGAGGCTGTGGACAGCTTCACAGTGCTGCGCTCAACCTTCTGTGCCACTGGGGAGACCCAAGATTCCAGTTTTAAAAAAACGACTAGAACCAAAAAAAAAATCATGACACTACTCACCAATACTATATGTTTACAATGATTTTATGGGTTTTATAAAAATATGAGCATGTTTATAAAAATATGGACTTATTAAAAATTCAAACAACATTAAAAAAACACAAAGAAGAAACTACATTATCCAATATTCCACCGTTGATTTTACAGCTGGTGAACATCATTTGGGACATACTGTTAAAAGGATAATAGCTATTTTTGAAGAAGAGTTTGTTTTATTTTGCTTGAATTTAGCAAAAAAGCAGAAGTGAAACAACATAGCTTTCTGACCTGCAGATATTTTAAAAACAATATACCATACATACAATTTAATGCTGACAAAAAAATTTATGAAAACTTAAGAGGTTAACTATATTTTCATATTAATGCTCTTTAGTTAACGTTTTGCATTTCCTCTCCCTTTCCATCACACCTCTTGATTTTTGTTGCTTTAATATCCACTGTATAATATTTATATGCTTCTGTAACAACAATCTACATGAGTTGATCAGTCTTAAGCCTACATTATAATGGTTTGAATACTTTATTGGGCATTTTCTATTGATACCCTTTTTTTAAAAGATTTATTTATTTATTTATTTATTTATACAAGACCTGGGTACAGTCAGAAGCGCGGGAGGGTGAGAGAATTCACCAGCGCCAGAGCGGGGAACAGAACAGGCAGACCGACGAAGCACACTGCTGAGGGTAGCAGCAGACGGTGCAGGAGAGGTCTGCGCGCCATGTGGGACCCTCGCCCGTGGCCAGGGACCAAACCGGTGCTACAGAGGCTGCGGGCAGCTTCTCAGTCCAGCGCTCAACTGCTGCACCACCGGGGAGGCCCTATTGATACTCTTTTTAGCCATGAGTCTGTTAGTTGGATTTGAGCCATTTGGGTCAATTTCATCATAGGGTGTTGTTTATTTCAAGAAATGCTCATGGTAACTGTATTCTTTGATTTCTTTCACTGAGATTGCTCATTGCCTTCACTGTTGAATACTATTTACAAAACAACTTTGTATCACATTATATTAATTTAATATTACACTTTTAAATTATGAATATGACTTTAAACAATTTACATAATTTTATTCCCTTTATAAGTTTGTACACCTTACTCATTTTATGGGAAAGTGAGTTGGTGTGGCGATTTCTCACTTGTAAAAGGTAAGACCAGTTAAATTCTAGGGTCTTTTTTGGATGTAACATTTACACTATCATTTAAAACAATTTTGTTATTTTTAACCAATCTTCTTTTTTCATTTTTCATTAAACAATCATTATCCATTTACTGTTGAATCACGTTTCCCTACTTGTCTTTTAAGACAGAACCATTAATTGAGTGTGGGAGAGGTCAGTAATGGGTTTTGCTTTTTTGTTTTGATTTTTAAGCATCACCCATGGAAACTTATCATTCTATAGTATAAAAAACAACAACAGTGAATTGAATATCAGTAATCTTTTTGGAAAAGTATAAAAAGTTTAAAGGTTTAGCTCACAACTTGCTGGGTTATTCATTTTTTCCACATATTTGCAGAGAGATCCATCAATCTGGCATTCACCTACTTCTTGGACACACCAGCCAGCCTGGAACCTAGAGTCTTGCTCTGGCTGACCTCTCTCCCTGGAACGTTCTTCTGCTGACTCCCTCTATCAAATGTGACTTCTCACTGGAGCCTTCCCTCCCCTACTGCCTTACTGTCAATCACACTGCCCTTCCTCTCTGTGATTCCCCCTTATCCACATGCCACCTTCTAACATATTTTATGCGTGAGCTATATTGGTTGTTGTTACCTGCCCTACACACACACACGCGTTCCATCTGTGCTAGAATAAAAGCTCCTCAAAGGCTGAGGAACTTGTCGTGTGTGTGTGCGTGTGTGTGCGTGTATCTTCACACTATTATGAAATTATTTCTTTCTTTCTCTCTCTCTTATCCATCCATTCATTTTCCCATCTACAAACATGCTTACAGAGATGTCGAACAGGATATTCACTTATTGTTAATGAGGCTTATTTCTGAGAGACAGGATTTGTGATTTTTTAAAACTTTTTTTGCATTCCTTGAATTTATCATAATGAGCAAGTATCATTCTGTAACAGCAGTCACTATTATAATATGAATGAGTGAGAAATAACATTTGACCTTCTATTATTAAGCCTTAAAAACACCAGATGGTATAAAAGAGAAAAACAAGTTTTTTCATTATTATAGGAAAGGAAGGGGGATTAGAGGAGAAGGTGCTATTGCGTGATCATTATACACTCTTTGAAATTACAAAATGGGAAAGAGCTGATAGCTTTAGATCATGTAAATGGCTTGAATCGGTTATGCAAAGGATATGCATTTTCACTTTACCAATTTTTAAAAGGCATTTTGTATCAGGTTCAGAATGGTTGTTGACATAGTCAGCGTCAATATAGGTCCCTACTACCAAATATTCAGTTGCTTATTGAGGTCTATGGAAATGGAGTTGGCTTTTCCCATCACAAATTATACACATTAAGGTCTCCCTGGTGGTGCAGCGGTTGAGCGCTGGGTTGCGAAGCTGCCCGCAGCCTCTGCAGTGCTGGTTCGATCCGGGCTGCTCTCCGGCCACCAGAGGAGGGTCCCACATGGCGCGCAGACCTCTCCTGCCGCCCACTGCTCCCCTCAGCAGTGCACTTCGGTCCTTCTGCCTGTTCTGCTCCCCGCTCTGGCTCTGGTGAATTCTCTCACCCTCCCGCGCTTCTGACTGTACCCAGTGCATGTATAAACAAAACAAACAAACAAACAAACAAATAAACATGCCTCTATTTAAAAAAAAAAGATTTAAAAAAATTATACACATTAAACATAAAAGTAAAATGAATAAGTGGAAGAGAACGATAATAACTTCAAATCAGAGCCAACTTATCATTGATGCCTGAAGCCAATGTGTCTTGAGCCTGCAATCCATTCCAGGGTACATGAAAATGTTTTAATTTCTTAAAATCAGGAGAAAAAAATAAACTTAAGTCAAAGAAAATGTTGTAATATGTAACAGCAACACACTCAACTTTTAACCAACAGTCAAAATGTAGTTCCTAATAGTTTTTAATGGAGGACGGGCCCCCACAATGGCAACAGTGCCTCCCATCCATGAACACATAATGGGGCTCTGTTTCTAGTATTTCCAAGTCACAAATTCATTGGCAGATGGCAAAAATTACTTGGATTATTGAAAAATGAACTTTAAAAACTACCTTTTTGAAATTAAAATCATAGGGCCGCCCCTGGTGGCACAGTGGTAGAGCGCTGGGCTGCAAAGCTGCCCGCAGCCTCTGCAGTGCCGGTTCAATCCCCGGCCACAGCAAGGGTCCCAAATGGTGCGGCAGACCTCTCCTGCCAC